TCTCGTAGTCCAAGGCACTCTCAGAACTTTTCTCCAGCACCACAGTTCAAAAGGATCTATCTTCCTTTGTTCAGCCTTCCCTATGGTCCAGCTCTCACATTCATAGGTGACTATGGGGAATACCTTTGCTTTTACTATGCGGGTCTTCGTTGCCAGTGTGATGTCTCTACTCTTTATTATTTTATTGAGATTGGACATTGCTCTCCTCCCAAGAAGTAAGCATCTCCTGATTTCCTGGCTGCAGTCTGCATCTGCAGTAATCTTTGCACCTAGAAATACAAAGTCTGTCACAGCCTCCACGTTTTCTCCCTCTAGTTCCCAGTTGTCAATCATTCTTGTTGCTATAATCTTGATTTTTTTTTATGTTTAGCTGCAACCCAGTTTTTGGACTTTCTTCTTTCACCATGATTAGAAGGCTTCTCAGCTCCTCCTCACTTTCAGCCATCAAAATTGTGTCATCTGCATATCTAAGGTTGTCAATGTTTGTTCAAGCAATTTTTACCGCAGCCTTGCATTCATCAAGCCCTGCACATCACATGATGTGTTCTGCATACAAGTTGAATAGGTTGGGTGAGAGTATACAACCCTGCCGTACACCTTTCCCAATCTTGAACTAGTCTGTTGTTCCTTGGTCAGTTCTTACTGTTGCTACTTGGTCCTTATACAGATTCCTCAGGAGAGAGACAAGGTGATTTGGTATGCCCATATCACCAACAACTTGCCACAATTTATTATGATCCACACAGTCAAAGGCTTTAGAATAGTCAATAAAACAGAAATAGATTTTTTTTCTGAAACTCCCTGCCTTTCTCCATTATCCAGCGGATACTGGCAATTTGGTCTCTCATTCCTCTGCCTTTATATATATTTATATATATTATTTATTATTTGCTAAATCTAACATTTTTCTTTCTTTTAAAAAAAGATATGTCTTAACTTTAAAAAGATTCTTCAATTGCTGCATGGCCAACTTTTCTAAGATTTTAATTCAAACTGTTATATTGAAACTTTATGATATTAATATACTTTGATTCATTGTGAACCATACCACAATCCTTTCTAGGAAATGGATTTGTGTTCTGACATTTTCTCTTTTTGCTACAATCTTGTCACCAAAACAGAGTATCCAGAAGTGCATTGTCTCATTTCCACATGGCTGTACTGTACTTTCTTGACCTTTTTAATATTCAGTATTTTGAATAGCTGACCATTCCACTTCTCCTCTTTGCACTGAAATAAGAATAAGAAAGCTAATCTGTTGCAAAAGATTGTACTGACCAACTAGTTGAAATGTATAATTTTGAAAAGGTCAAAGTAGTGTGGTACAGCATTTATTAGACATCAGAATCTGGATGCCTTCCTCTTGTCATAATGGCTGTATTGGCAGCCAGATTAAAAATGGATTTGATATTAGTGTACTAACAGAGTAACTGCAGTTCCAGACACATGGATGTTAATAGTATGCCTTGGCTGTGTTACGGTTTCAAAACAATTCTCAGTTATTTGCATTCTACAAGTGAAAGGATTAATTTGATCATAGCAATACCTTACATATGCTGGATTGGAAATCCTTATGGAGTTCAGTTGGATGTACTATGAGGTAACTGGTTACAAAATTTTAACCTAAGTTGATTGATAATATAATTATAGATCATTATGCAGATTTAAAAAAATTATAATCCTGAAATGTATCTGGCTAGATAAAATACATCAAAAAGGGGTTTACATTCCTATGTGTGAGATTATATATATATAGCAGCAGCCTTGGAAATGAGTCACCTAAGGTAATCTTGATGTAACTGTTTGCATCAGCATTTTCAATGGACATCTGGCATTCATTGCCACAAGCATCAAATTTAAACTTTCATTTAGCATACTGAGGGCATCGGATGGATTTATTGGAATGGAAATGTAGATGAGGAAATCTTGTTTACTTTGAATCACAAGTTGATTTGAAAGCTTTCTGAATGTGGAAGAAACTCCTGAACTAACAATATGATCCTGAACATTTTTTAAAAAAAAATGGAACAAGTGAGTGTAGGTCTCTCACTTATCAGATGGGGAACTTTTACTCAGCTCCATTAAGAATCTATCAGCTTATAATGACGGTCCATATGGACTGGTATTGCTGATAGTAAATACACTACCAGTCCACTTTTATTAGGGTACTTTTTATAGCACTCTAAAAGTATGCAATTGAAAATAACTTCTGATCATGTCTTTGAGCATCTTTTGTGTTTAACAATAGCCCTGTTCATGAATAATCTTTTGATGAAAATGATGTTCAGTAAAAATTTTAGCTGTGATATAGACCCTAGACAATATTGCAGGTAATTACTAATTTTGTTGCCACCATGACTAACATAGCTGTTCAAGATGGATGGATGGATGGATGAAGTAACTGAATTTTTGAACAATTCTCTACTAAGAATGCTCTGAGTGATGTATGATATTGGAAAAATATAAAATGCAATAGTAATGCAATGGCCATAGGCATCAAAATATAAAATATAAAAATGGTTAAAAAAAAAAGAACCGAAACATCACAACATAAAAAAATTAAAACCAGCAGCAAAGAGTTCAAACATCTAAAACACAAAAATAGTTCTTAAAATTTCTGAGAAAATAAAAAGATCATAAACTAACACAGAAAGACAATAATGTAGGCAGTTCCTTACCCACTAGAATCTTTTGAAATTGTACCCTCAATATCTCACTTTTAAGACTCTCCCTTCTCTTACAGTATTCTTGACTAGGGAATCCATCCAGTATTTAAGTTAACTCAGTGTTTTTAAAGTATAGAAAGCATGTCTGAATATGATTGGTTTCCTTTTTCCAGGAGAACTTCCAACAAAGGATCCTGCCAGTTCCACCCCATTAACCATGTCATCACTTTTGGTTAGGATCAGTGGAAGTTCTTACTACCTCTTCCACCTTCTGAATTACTGTCAATGCAAGTGAGGAATTTTATATCCGTGGCAAACTTCAACTTCCAACAAGAACCAGGACAGTTGAAAAGTCCCATCACTACTCCATCATTCTTTGAATCTCATTAAAAAGGCCCATGGATCCATGTTGCCACAGTGACAGCATGTGCTGCTTCCCTTTGGCATGGAGCCTGACCTATTATCTTTCTATAGTGAATGTGAGATTTTTCATTTTACTAATTGACACATTGACAATAGAGTTGTGTATGAAACTATTTCCCTCAGTTTCATCCATTCTTTTTTTTTACCTTCAGGAGCACGTAACAGGAGGGCCCCTCCCCCTACGAAGATGCCTTGGACTGGAAAGAGTGCATGGATGCTGGCATGCTCATGTCTCCTCTAAGTAAGAAACAGTGTTTATAAAGTTAGTGTATTACTGATGTCATGGCCTATGGCTAGTACAATAAACAATTCATTCATTCATTCAAGTAAGAAACAGCTTTAAGATTAGAACTTGCTTGCCTCCTTTAAATGCCTCAGAATGGAAAGAGTATGTGGCTGCTGGCATGTGTGCATCTCCTCTAGACTAAGAAACAGCTTTAAGAACTCACTTGTCTCTTTTAAATGTCTTGAATAGAAAGTGCATTTGATGTGCAGGTTCCAGAGAAAAAGCCCGGGGGCCTGCCTCCACCCGAACACCTCTCCTCTAGAACAACTTACATGCCTAAAATGACAGGAAGGGGATCCTGGGAGCCCCCCCCCCCCCCCCATAATAGGATGGTAGAAAACAGATCTTTTGGCACCTTAATGCTTCTTTTCCCATTTAAATACTTACAGTAATCTGAAGTATTGCATTTTGAACACAGGTGAATGAGCAATGAATTTGTAAAGCTCAGGATAGTCCATTTCAAGTGGAATGCTTATCTGAGATTTCGAGCACTAATTTCCAGCTTTGTTACCCTATTATTACTATTATATCATAAGCATATTATATTGTTACTATAGTTAGTTTATTTATAGGACACTTTCCCACGAACTATGCTGAATTCTTTTACAATATATATGAGGTTGTCAAATACATGACATTTGGAGAAGAAAAAAAGGAAAGAGTATTTTAAAGAACACTGATATGTCGAAGAACAATGCAGTTTACATAAGATGTATCAATATGAAAATGACAATCAAACTACAACATATAAATACAGAAAAACATCAACATTAAACCAGAAAAAAATAAAATCTTACTGTTGGCTCTAGTTGTGCTCAATCTGACCCCCTGGAGTCTGACTTTAATACAGGGATCTTCTGAAGCAAGTATGATGTAGTGGTTTGAGCATTGTACTATGACTCTGGAGGCAAATGTCTGAATGGCTATTTGACCATGAAACCTACTGGATAACATTTGGCACATCACACTGTATCAGCCTGGGAAGAAGGCAATGGAAAGCCTCTTTTGAATTAATATTTCCAGGAAAACCCCATGATAGGTTTATTCTTAGGGTCACCATAGATCAGAAACGACTTGAAGGTACACATCAATTTTCACCAGAGGACATATTTCCCAACAGAATCTCTCATCTTTCCTCCCAAGGAAATTAATGACAGTAAAACAGGAATATTTTAGTAGAGGTGTGCATGTTTTTCGTTTGCCTTGTAATTTGGATCAATTTTGTTAAATTTTGTACATATGAGGCAATATCCAAGACATGAGCATGGCTCATGCTAAAACTTTAAGAATTGAAACTTACCCCATACTTTTTTTTAATTTTAGCTTTGTAAATCTCAGAAGTTTCTCAAAGTCAGTCTCCTTTTTAGTGCAAGGAAGCAAAGCCAAGCCAAGAAGGCTGCCTTAGTGCCTTGCCTTTTCTCTAAATTAATGGAGTCTCAGCATTAGGAGCAGAAAAAAGAGGGAGCAATGTTTGTAGGGAACAGCACAGAACTCAGGGAAATGTAGCTTTGGAAGGGAGGAGGTCTATGCCAGAGAATTCAAAAGGTCTTCCCCTAAACTACATTTCCCAGAATGCATAAGCATAAAAAAGCACCAATCAGGGTGGCAGAGAGAGAGAGAGAGAGTTTTTCCTTCCCTAACAGCAGCCAGCGAGAGTTCCAATGAATGGTTGAATCTGCAAAGAGAAGGACTGCTGGATACTTCTAGTAAGTAAAACTCTGAGCTGGGCTGGGAAAAAATCCCTAAATGGATGGTCCCCATACTATAGAATCATAGAATCAAAGAATCAAAGAGTTGGAAGAGACCTCATGGGCCATCCAGTCCAACCCCCTGCCAAGAAGCAGGAATATTGCATTCAAAGCACCCCTGACAGATGGCCATCCAGCCTCTGTTTAAAAGCTTCCAAAGAAGGAGCCTCCACCACACTCCGGGGCAGAGAGTTCCACTGCTGAAAAGCTCTCACAGTCAGGAAGTTCTTCCTCATGTTCAGATGGAATCTCCTCTCTTGTAGTTTGAAGCCATTGTTCCGCGTCCTAGTCTCCAAGGAAGCAGAAAACAAGCTTGCTCCCTCCTCCCTGTGGCTTCCTCTCACATATTTATACATGGCTATCATATCCCCTCTCAGCCTTCTCTTCTTCAGGCTAAACATGCCCAGCTCCTTAAGCCGCTCCTCATAGGGCTTGTTCTCCAGACCCTTTATCATTTTAGTCGCATTCCAGCTTGTCAATATCTCTCTTGAATTGTGGTGCCCAGAATTGGACACAATATTCCAGGTGTGGTCTAACCAAAGCCGAATAGGGGAAGGATATTAATTAGTTTAGAGGCTAGATGACCATCTGTCAGTAGGGTTTTGATGGTCCCTTCTGCCTGGAAGAAACTTTAAAATTGAGGGGGGGGGAGTCCTTGAATTTTCCCCAATTGTAGTAATTTATGCACAATTACTGTAACAAAATAGTAATTAGATTTCACTAATCTTGTTATAGTAATGCATTTTTTTTACTAACTATACTTTAAAAACATTTTAGAAACATAATGACAGTGCACTCCCCCACAGTTTTGTAATGACTTTTGAACCATTTTTAAATGGGTTGCACATCCCCAGTAACAAGTCTAGATGGTTTATTCTATGAGAATACCACATGCATAAAAAGGTGCAAGGAATATGTTTTATCTTACGTTTCCTCTAGCACAGTTAATTCCTTAACAGGTTGCACATTTTAAGCTAAAGTACTTTTTTTTTAAAAAAAAAAAATGCAAATCCTCCCTGTTTCTCTCTTCCACACTATTTTCAATTATATTTTACAATCTCTTTTGGATTCATGATATTCAGTAATCCAGCCAATATGTATCATTTACCATTATGCTTTGTCTTCTTTGGAAGCAACAATCCTTTGCAATATTTCTCCTCTTCCTGTAGAATTTAAAGTTAAAACAAACTGTTACCATTATAATGCCCCAATAATCATCCTGAAACCTATTTCCTGAATGTATTTGTATTCAATTTGGAGACCACATTACTCTGACAGGAGTCAAGACTTATAGTCAATAAAATGGTGTACAATGAAAAAGTCAGAGAGAGACCTTATTACTTTGGTTGTCACTTTCCTCTGCAAACATTATACAACTTGCCCTATCAGAAAATTATCTCACTTTTGATGTAAGCTCTTATACCTCAAGTGCAGCCATCCAATGATGCAGAAATGATAATGTTTGGTCTTCTGACTTGTACAGCCTTGACCAATTGATAAAATCTCTCCAAGCTATTTTTTTTTGTGTGTATGTGAATTAATACTGCTGTTTAGGTAACTAGCTGTTACAAACATGCTACTGTTAGAAGCGAGAACATATGCTAAGAAATCAAACTTTTATTTGCTGATAAATCAGATAAATAAAGAGGCCACACAACAGGAATGAATTGAACTAAGGACAACCTTTATTGAATAGTTACCTATTTATGCTGTTTCTTGAGGATAATCAAACTATTTGGGGGAGCGATCTGATATGGGAGCAGGTAAGGCAGTCTGTTATCCCTGACTTGAGCCCCCAACCTCCCCTTGGGCATTACACCATAACCCCTTAGAGCAACCCATAATTTGCATGGTTGCTTGCAGGCCAGTTCTTATCCTGGAAGGCTAATGAAGACGTGTAAGCCCTTAAAATTGCTTTGATTTCTAACTAGAGCTAAGACCCCAGAGACTAGCCCCAAGGGGGTGGGGGTGGGGGATTAAGTACTAATCCCCCATCCCGCAGATTGTTTGACCTGCAAGAAGGGTTCAAAATTCTCATCCAATACCAAATTGTACCAGTAGGTGAACACCAAATCATAGCTCCTCGCAATACCTGTCACAAATTAGGGGCCAGTGTCCACTGAGTTCCCTATTCCCCACCAGACCACAAATCATGAATTTAATGGCATTTTGAAAATCCCAATGAAACAACTCTAATCCTCCCTCAGAAAGATGAACACCACCTGAACGTACATAGGTTGTTTATAAGTAATTTCAGGGGGATTAATGTGAAAACCCAAACCCTTAACTATGTCACGTCTAATTTTCATATTTATCCTTTTTTGGCTATATACAACTTACAAGTGTCCCTTAGCCAATGTTGTCTAGAAATGATGGCAGACCAGGAAATCTTAGTAAATGGCCAATGGTCTTGAATTTTGCCCATGTCAATAATGGTCTGAATTTTAAGGGCCTTCCCTGCCAAAAGCCATGCCTGATTAAAACAGTACTTGGACCAAGGAGGTGATTAGCCTAAACTTCCTGGGTAGGGCATTCTGTATTCACAGAGAAGAGCATCACCTATACCTTCATGAGACATATCTGTAGCTCTTTTGGTGAAACAGATTGTCAGTCAAATTTGTCATTTTCCAAGAATACCTCTTGCTTTACAAAGTAACATTTCAGCCTACACAGAACAGATGGATGATGGGAAAACCCATCATATCCGTCTCCAACATCCCATATCGGTTGAAGGCTAAACATCTGTAACGGAGTTTATTCTATTTTGATATGCAATTTGAAATCTGCTGGTTCAGGGTTCTTTTCACACAGAGAGAATGTTCTGTTATGGGACACAGTGATAAAGGGATTCTACATTGTTTTCTAGCTGCAGCTTGCCCAAGGTCCTTTTACAGAATCCCTTATGTAGAATTCCAAAATCCAAAATACTCCTAAGTCCACCAATCTCCACATGGATGGCTGAGATAGTGACGCGTTTGCTTTCTCATGGTTCAATTTACACAAGCTTTGTTTCATGCACAGACACCATGAAAGTGAATTATTTTATTTATTTGTATGTATATGTATGTATGTGTGTATGAGAGAGTATATGCCATATTTCTCTAAGAGCTGGATCCAAGGCAGCTTTCAAATAATGAAAAGTTGCAGGGACAAACGATGAAATGAGTAGAGCTACCTATCACACCCACACTTTCCTAAATGGATGAGATCTTTAATGATTGAATATATGCTTTTGAAGAAGGTGAAGGTTGGTAATTCTGAACTGGTATGGAACCCCAAATCTTTGCAGAGAGTCATGGAAGATCTTGCAACCCACTAGAATCAGTGTGTCCTCTTCTGGTAAAAAAAAAAGTGATTTCCATTATTTTCTTTCAAACAGACTAATGAATATAGCTCTACAGTGTGAACTATACAGGGGAAATAATAAAAGGAATATGTAATATTGCCTGTGAAACAAAGTGCACAAGCATGCGAGCAACCCCCTCCCCCCCAAAGATCAGAAAAGTCTTTGTACTAGATGGCATCCAGAAATGTATATTGGAAATTTTTATGTTTTTCAATGTATTTTCATACCAGCACACAGTTATTACGCCTAAAAGGCAAATAACCTGAAATAACTCATCTACTTCAAATACAAAAATACATTTACAAAGGTTAAAAACAATTCACTTGTATTTCAGATGGAGGAGTAAACTTAGTATGTGCCCAAGGAAGCAGTGCTGTTGTGCAGAAATAAGTAAGTCCCTGAAGTCAAATGCACATTTTGATTTGCAGATTTACAGCCATCCAAATACAGCAGTAAAAACACTCACTATTCAGAGCAATGCATATTTTTTAGTTATTGCTGTCACTCTGCACTTGAAGCAATGCTAAAAGAAAAGAATGAGAATCCGGACACAGCTCCTAATTTCTTGAAATGTGGCTGAACAATGACAATGTTTCTTTCTTTTAAAAATCACCTTTCTACACTGGTACTGCATTCCAAAAGAGAAAACAACCTTGACGCGTTTAAAATAATATTCTGAAATAAAAGCTGGAACATTTTTTCTTTGTTAGGGAGCCTTTTATTTCTTTGTCAGCAAAAGTATAATGTAATGACTACTCAGGAAGCTCTGCTGCAGTGGTTTCAATCTAAAATGTAATACAAAGAATTGACCAACTAGGATTACAGTTCTATACGCATTTGAAGGGATATCTGTGACTTACAGGTTCACATAGTACAGGGTTTCCATCCACCCTTGAGATTCTTTCACCTTATCTTTGATACGAGATAACAGATAATACATTTTTTTAAGCTCATGTAAGTGTGATATGGAACTGAGTTCTGGTTTGCTGCCCAGTATACGGTTGCACTATCGCTGACTCCTGAGAAGAATTGAGTGGTGCCTCAAATACTTGATGGGGAAATGTTTAGATTGTTAACAGCAACAAGATCTATTTATTTATAACACCATTTCCACCTAATGTCAAACATAAAATCAAATAGAAAGTCAATATAACAAAGCACTATAAATATACAGAAAATCCCTATCATCCAAGCAGCCATTGCCGATCTCAGCAACATGAGGCACAAATTAGCAACTTTATCTGGTGAATAAAAGAAAAGGTCTTTGACCCCTTCTGAAAATGGGAAAGGTCCTCCTTCAGCCATCATTCTAAAGGAAAAATGTTCCACAGAGGCAAATTTGGAAAGGCTCAAAGCCTAAAAAGAGCATGTCAGTTAAATGGACAATAATTATTTGCTCATAGATTCTTAAACGGATCAAGAATCTTATATGACTCTTTTCTCTTTAATTTTGACCTGCCATTATTCAGCATCACAAATACCCCATACTTTTGTCATAGGCCAAGGAAAGATTCCCTACAAAATATCTGAAAGGTCATGTGATTTCCAACCCTTCTCCCATTAGCTAAGAAATGTGGCCAAACAATTAAATCTTGAATGCACTTTGACTTGAGAGGAGATTAGACTGACGTGCCTTTGGCTTGCAGATGTTGTGAATATGGCTCAGACACCAGAGTCGTGATGACAACTATCTGTTTATTTGGTCCTTGCCCATCTTGGCTGATCAAATCTGGAAAAGGTGGGATTTATGATTATTATCATCAGTGATCGCTTGTGTCCTTGTAGAATGGCCTTTCAAGAGTAGGGTCTTGGCAGGATGCCATTTGGGTTGCTGTTTCCAACCCCATCTTTTCCTGTGATCCCTGGTGACAGGTTGAAGTCTCATCTGACTCTTGCATTAAAATCCCTCAGGAGGATGATTTTGGCCTCTTTAGATATCTCTGTTAGGATGGTATCCAGCTGACAGTAAAACTTTCCCTTGTTATCTTCATCAGCATCTAGTGTTGGTGCATAGGCACTTATGATGGTTGTCTGCTGAGTTTTTTGCAAGGTTAATTCAGAGGGTTGAGAGTCATTTGTTAATGCCGATGGGTGCTTCAGACAGATGCTTCACCAGGTAATTTCTGATAGCACAGACAACTCCATATAGTCTTCGTTTTCCTTCAGGCAGTCCTGTCCTATGCTACCTATCCACAGATATCAAGTGCCTCAAAGACCAACCATCAATTAACAGCCACATCAACATACAGGAACCCAACTTGGAATATTATTCACCAAAGTCACTATGCCAAGACAAAGAATAATCCAGAGAGAAGTCCAAAATTCAAATGCACAAGTCAAGGCTGGAGCAAACAAGTCAACGATAATCCAAAGCAGAGATCACAGTCTGGAAATTGTCTGAAACTTCTATTTGGGTACAGCACAAATAAAAGTTGCTCCCACAACTGGTCCATAACTTTCACTGCTGCTTTATTGTCACCCAGCAAGCTATGGATTGGATCCTGACTGCAAGCTATGGATTGGTTCCTCCCTGCTGCTTCATTGCAGCTGACAAGCACTTCTGTGCCTTTTCTTTAAGGCTAACTTTAGCCTCTGTTGTCTCAAGGTGCTCCTGGCATGAAAAAAAACAAACACAAATTCCCTACATTGCTTTAGGCTACTATTGATATGTTCTCAGAAACCAGGTGGTATATTCCAGTCACTGTAGGGCTGAACCAGTTCAACATTGATTTAAATAGTCAATGTAGATGTTCCCCAAGTTTTTTTCTCATTTCAAACTTTTTTTGCCTTGTGTAGATGGAAATAAATGTCAGTAATAGAATCCCTATGCAAGAACAGTGTTAAGGTATTATGTTATACATCCTTTCTGTATTCTTTTGTCTTCTGTTTTGTTTAAGAATGTGAATTATCCCCTTGGATTCTGTTACTTTTAGATGTTAAAGGACTCATGCTATCTACTTACCCAGGCACTCTTCTTCAGGGAAATATAGACAACTCTTTACATTTGTAGATTAGATTATTTTGTGGATTTCATTAATATGTTATTTTTGAAAATGTCTAGAAGTTGATTATAGAGTAATGCTGGAAGAGTGGAAGATTGCTGTAGAAAAATTTTCTAATGATATGTAGAGTCATGGTGTAACTTAGACCAGGGTTTCTCAAAGTGTGCTCCATGGACACACTTTGTGTGCTCCATGGACAAAGCATACTGAGGAGCTCCATGGTTTACTAATATTTTTTTTTACTTAAAAATGGATTTTGTCATTTAGGAGTTGTAGTTGCTGGGATTTATAGTTCACCTACAATCAATGAGCATTTTGAACCCCAACAACAATAGAATTGAGCCAAACTTCCCACACAGAACCCCCATGACCAACAGAAAATACTGTGCTTTCTGGTGGTCTTTGMTGACCCTTCTGACACCCCCTCGCAACCCCCCCAGGGGTCCCGACCCCTAGGTTGAGATATGCTGCCTTAAGGCCACCCAGTCCAATTCCCTTCACCAGGACAAGAAAACAGAATCAAAGCCCTCTAGATAAAGAGCCATCCAGCCATTGATATAGATAGATATATATCATTCACACACACACACACACACACACACACACACATCTATATGATAGATATAGTATCACAGATTTGAAAGGGACCCCTAAAGCAGGACAATWWTATGTTGCATTCTCCAGAGTCAGCAGACCAGACAATCTGTACATCAACACTGACAAAGAAACAACAAGAAATACTGTTTACCCACAAGCATAAAGAAATTACATATATCAAAAACCAACACTTTCTCATTATTTTCCATATCACTAGACTGGGCCACAGCAATGCGTGGCAGGTGACAGCTAGTATAATATAGTATTTCTTGGGGCTCCATGATAAACTTTTGCTTCAAAAAGAGCTCTGCAGCTAAAAAGTTTGAGAACCCCTGCCTTAGACATTGTGTTTTCCCAGATAAAAAGTAGATTTTTTATTTCTGATTTTCCAATTTGGGGGGGGGGTCTGTACCCCTGACCCCCACAAAAGGGCCTACTGTAGAGAGAAGAAAGAAAAAAGAGCACAAAGAAAAAGAAAAGAATAGGGTTCAAAGTCAAAAGTCCTGAGTGGAAATTTCCTTCACCATATAATTTAATATGCTGTGTATATTATACAATAAAGAAAGGGGTTTCTCTTTTTTCAGGAATGCAAATAAATATGCAATGAACAATAACTTGTGTGTTGCCTCTTCACAAATATTGTTGGTGCCAGCCCCATTCCCTACTTTTCATTTAGTTAATTTTCATTCTGGCATGACAGATATCTTTTTCTTATGTAAAAGCAACCTATCCCTTTTGTACTTCTCCTTCTTCCCCCGAGTATGTATCTAGAAATGCAGATAATTATAGGGAAAGGTTTTCAAACACACACATTTTCTAACTGACACATACTCTGCTCTTGATGTGTTCTATGCCTGTTCTCATTACATTTTATATACTGCAAACCGGAACAAAAAAAAAAAGTGTGGTATTAGGAAACAATGACTCCTTTTTGCAAATAAAGAGCAGATTTAGAGAGAAAATCACTTGAACCTGACAACCACTGATATTTTTTTTCACTTCAAGAAAAGTGAGTGGGACCCGATAAGCCTTTCTTCCTTTCCCCAAAAAGCTGTTGTTTTTCTTGTCTTTGTAAAGAATGTAGGGGAGCAGTAATGAATGCCGTAATTAAACAAATCTTTAATCTCAAATAACTTCTAAAATGTATAGTAGTTGGTTAACCTTTGTCTTGCAAAGGGGAACTCTGGGTATTTCCATAGTTCTACTGATAAAAGAATTTTACAGAGCTAGAGCTGTCTAATATTAAAATGATAAAGACCTAATAGGTACAAAATTTCCCTCACATTTTTCCAGTTCTGTGTATTTAAGTACACTTCTACCTAAGTAAAGCAAATGGTTGCTCAAATTTGACACTTCTTTCTTTTTTAAAAAAAGGGAGTAATGTTAACATTACAAGATGGCTGGTTTCAAAGTGCACTTTCAAAGTCAGCCATATGCATTTGCCTAAATCAAAAGGTACCACTTTTTGTAAGATGGAGAATATTATGTTTTACCTGCATTCTACCCAGTAGTTGTAAAGGACCAGCAGTCTGGCATACAAAAGATGTGCCGAACCAATTCCAGTATCATAAACATGATTGAATGCACAGGGATTCAAAACCAAAATGTTAAGAGCTGTGACTATATGGGCAATCTAGCAGTTTCATTTCTTTCTCTTTTCCCTTATTCATATTTAAAGCCACGTTCTTCCCACTGAATCAATCAAGTTTTTGAATTTTGAAAAAATATGCTCACCTATCCTTTGAAAATCCTTACTCATTGGAGGAAAGAGCTGGATTTTTAGCAATTTCA